CAACTTCTGAAACTTATCTTCTTTTTATACCCGATACTCAAAATCAGTATTGGGGTATATTAGATTTGTGGTGAAAATGGATGTGTGTAACGTCCAGAAGGAATCATTTCCGACCCCATAAAGTATATATATTCTTGATCAGCATCAATAGCCGAGTCGATTGAGCCCTGTCTGTCTGTCCGTCCCCTTCAGCGCCTAGTGCTCAAAGACTTTAAGAGCTAGAGCAACGATGTTTTGGATCCAGACTTCTGTGATATGTCACTGCTACAAAAATATTTCAAAACTTTGCCCCGCCCACTTCCGCTCCCACAAAGGGCGAAAATCTGTGGCATCCACAATTTTAAAGATACGAGAAAACCAAAAACGCAGAATCGTAGAGAATGACGATATCTTTTAGACTACGGAATCTGAATTGGATCGTATTATTATTATAGCCAGCATCAAGAAAACAATTTCATTTTTTCTCGCCCTGATCTGATCTGATCCAGATTCAGCAACCTGATAGATATGGTCATTATCTATGATTCTGCGTTTTTAGTTTTCTCGAATGTGCAATATTGTGGATGCAACAGATTTTCGTCCTTTGTGGGGGCGGAAGGGGGTGGGGCGAAATTTTGAGATATACGTTTTATAGTGAGATCTAACAGGAGTACGGATACTAAATTTGGTTACTCTAGCCTTAATAGTCTCTGAGACTTGTGAATATCCCCAGATTTGCATTCTTTGCGGGGGCGGAAGGGGGTGTGGCGAAATTTTGAAACAAACTCGTCTCGGTCTGATATATTAGGAGTGTGGATACCAAATTTGGTTGCTCTAGCTTTTATAGTCTCTGAGATCTAGGCGCAAATGTTTTACTCTAAGCAAAGCCGCCTATGCTACGTGTGTGTTAGAGAGAGACAGGACGAGAAAAAATGAAATTGTTTTCTTGATGCTGGCTATAATAATAATACGATCCAATTCAAATTCCGTAGTCTAAAAGATATCGTCATTCTCTACGATTCTGCGTTTTTGGTTTTCTCGTATCTTTAAAATTGTGGATGCCACAGATTTTCGCCCTTTGTGGGGGCGGAAGTGGGCGGGGCAAAGTTTTGAAATATTTTTGTAGCAGTGACATATCACAGAAGTCTGGATCCAAAACATCGTTGCTCTAGCTCTTAAAGTCTTTGAGCACTAGGCGCTGAAGGGGACGGACAGACAGACAGGGCTCAATCGACTCGGCTATTGATGCTGATCAAGAATATATATACTTTATGGGGTCGGAAATGATTCCTTCTGGACGTTACACACATCCATTTTCACCACAAATCTAATATACCCCAATACTCATTTTGAGTATCGGGTATTATAAAGATAACTATTGAATAATAGGCAGCTTCAATGGTTAACTGGAATAATGGGAAGATTTGAAGTTTGTGCCCACCTTCTTAATACATAATTAACTCGACGCGAATGCAACGAATCAGTCCAATCTTGGTTATTATCAACATGATTTATAAGCTTCGAACCAAACCGACTTTAACTAATAGATATGGGGCTTTACTATTTTGTAATAAACGACGGTTTATTTTATGGTAATATTTTTTTTTTAATTAAAAAAATGGTATTGTTTAATGGTTTTTTCAGAGGCAGTGCTTTCAATACTACTAAACACTACCGTAAACGACGCCTAAAGACACAAGCAATCATTTTTCTTCGAATTTTCTTTACAATTAGATAAAGATACTTAAGTTATGTGAAAAAAGGATTCATTCAAAAATTTTAAAGTCCCAATTCTATCAGAAAAAGTTGGTTTTATTCGAAACGTAAGTAAAAAGCAATTTTGGTGCCTAGTGTAATTATGAAACGAGGGGGAACGTTATGGGTCGCAGCTACGGCCGCGACTCTACATTTATATACGATGCTCAGTCAGTCAGTATGTGTGTTCCTATCTCACTTTCCTTCGTCAGAGGGCACAGAGGCTACGCAACGGCTTCCACACGCTTTCGCATTCCCTCTCTTTCAGACACTCCTTCTGGTGCAGGGTGCGCCCTCTGACTGACTGAGTATCGGGTATAAATGTAAAGTCGCGGCCCTAGTTGCGATTCACAACTCTAAAGCCCCGGAGCCATCTCATGTACTGGCATACCAAATTCCATGCTAATAAAAGCTAAAAAACATAGTAGTAGCCGAGCTCAGGTTAATTTTTGTTGGATTTAGATAATTCAATATATTAGAGATATATTGGCGGAAAAACTTTTATCAAGAATCATCTTTCTTTTGGGAGATAATATTAAAGAAAGTCATGACTAAAAAATACCAAAACATACCAAACTAGTAAACTTTTGGTTATTTTAATAAGTTTTCAGATAAAAGTGAATAAAATTACATTCGAACTTGCATACATATATTGCATATATATAATTTATTTTTGCAGAACATAGCATTGCAGAGTTCTGAAAATAAATTCGTAATAGAGAAGTTCTATGCACCAATGCTCCTATGCGATATCAATTGCGAGTGTTTGGTTTGCTGGGCGAATATTTACATACATATGTACATATGTATGTACATATGTATAAACAAAAACTGTATACTATGTAAAAAAAAATCTTACGAACAAGCATAGAAGTAGTTCATATTCATAGATGGATTCAATTCAATTGCATAAACATCCTCACATGAATCTGCTTTTCAAAAATACCAGGCACATGAATGGCTGAGCTGGGCTGTGAATCGCTGCCACTCGCCCATCAGTGCACCATCAGCTTATTTTGCTGGTTAATAGCCACTTAGGATTCTACATACATATGTATATGCAATCGTATGTGTGTATGTACATATTTACTGCCAACTTACTTCCATCTATATGGAAGCCTCTCTCAATATACTCTTCATATTTGAAGGTACATATGTATGTACATATATGCCTTCGCGTTTTGGATAATATCAATCAGCTCAAATAATCGTTGGCACAGAGTCCGCAAAAGAATCGATTTGAGTATCTTTAAATATTAATTGAAAAAGTACAATATACATATGTACAATATTGTACTATATGTCAATTATAATTTGGTTCGCTCTTTGAAAGTGTATATAAACCAGGCCTCGAGTTTGGTGAACGAATCCAATGCCGCCGACAGAAACACACAAGAAAATGAACTCCCGGAATATGCTTCCTAAGAAAAAAAAAATCCCTGACTGGACACACAAGAGAATCTGGTGATCCGACTCTCGACCAAACACAGATGTGGTGTCGCATAACATACCTTTTTTCTGCTCAGCTTAAGGCAATAAATACATTTAACAGTCTATGCATATGTATGTATGTATGTATTTATGTATGCAGCATGTATTACATATGTATCTATCCACACATATATGTGTATGTCCTATATGCCGGTCAACGCAATAAAACTAAATGCAATGTTGATGCTTATTGGAATATTTTCCGATTCAATTATTCAGTTCTAAGTTTCAAGGTCTAAGCAAAATCTTTTTACTAATCGAACCTAAACATACATATTTTTATTGCTCAATTTAATTTTTCATGCTGACATTACATGATGGTATTTCAACCACATTTTTGATAAAGTTTTTTCAATAAAATCCTATAGTGTTGTTTCCTAGGAACTCTTTAGCACTTTAAATTAATAACTATGTACATATGTATGTTCTCAAATGCAAAGCCATTATTTTCGAACCACTGTTATGTCCGTTCATTATTCTAGCATACCTTGTTATTCCACGTTCAAATTTGTGATTAAAAGAGTTAGCGTCAAGTTTCTAAAAGGTCTCCTTTAGATAGGTTTTTTTTTTATTGAATGACCTTTAAATACACAATGACACAGGCACATTTATCTTCAGAAAACTTGCGTCCCAATTGAGAAACACTTTGATATATTTTTCTTTTTATTTTTCTTTTTTTATAAATTTTAAACGAGAGACTAGAAAAAATACTACCGTCCTCACTCGCTGCCGAATCGGAAGTGTTTTTCCAAAGCAACATTTTGAAGTTTCGCTTGGATTTTTGGATTCTTAAATTAATTTTTAACGCTGCATACTTTTAGACACCAGGAACTAGTTATCGGTCTACCAAATTTGTGTCAAGTGCATGAAGTATTTCAGTCTGAGTGCATGTTCCCCTCGTGTAGAATAAGCAGATAGATTCAATATATACCCTTCTCTCTATTAAAATCCAAATTTGTTTGAATTAAATAAATCAATTTTTTTTTTTTAATAGCTGCATCTTTGGGGTCCTAAATGCGACGTCAGGTGTCGCCACAGTGCCATGTAGTTAGGCTGTTGAGAGTGTGTAAAACAGCTTTTAGACATGTACATGCATCGGGCATATTTTTATACCCGGTGGTATTCAAAGAATATAATTGATTAGTGTAGATGTACATACATACGTAAGTTGTTCGAGGAAGCCGAGTATCTGCTACAGTACTTAATATAACATAAATCGATTTTTAAAGCAAAAATGTTAATCATTTTTTTAAATAAATTCTTTTTAAAAATCTTGAGCTTTAAATATATTTACGCAAACCGTTTGGTAAAGTTTTTAGATGAAGGCATATAAAAAAATATATTAAGGTTAATTATATTCACTGTACAGACCAGCAAGTTAAAGTCCCAAAAGTTGACTTTTTAAATTTTTGTTTTCTTTACCAGCATCAATTTTTTTTTGTATTCTTGGTCTCTACATTTACTTTAATGACGACGGTTGCCAAAATATCTGTCTTTAACGGCGAAAAGTTAATTTAGTCTATGTTTTCTTTATACCATACGGAAAATAAAGCTTGCCTTGCAACTGACATGTCAGCTGAAAAATATCACCAATTCATGGCACCAATTTATGTATTCAAGTTCACAATAAACGAAAATAGCAGAATATGTGTGTCTCGCGGGTGCTGGGGAAACTTCACCCTCATATATTTTTACTCCACGAACTCCACGTAATCAAAAAGTACCTGAATAGTACCTGCAGAAGTTTTAAGCTTTGGGCATGGATAGTGTTTCAATAAATTTAATAGGAATTCTTTATTTTTGGAAAGCAACACTAATTGTTCCTCGAAAATGGTTTCGTTAAATTTCCATCTTGTTATAAGGATGCAATATGCAATCTTAGCTTACGTAGTATTATATACAGTATTTAGCTAGGGACTATAAGTAAGTAAGTAAGTAAGTACTAGGCAACTACCCTGTAATTTAATTTCCGCCCTTCCTTGGCATTCAGTAAGTGTACGTATGTACGTATGCAAGTGTGCCCTCGTGCAAATATACATATGCATGTGTCAGCAGGTATGTATGCATGTATGTACGTGGGTAAAACACCACGGTACTTTGGTAAATTCAAGGTGTAAGCATTGAGAGTGGTTCTGTTCTGTTATCGTTTCAGGCTATGTACAACTTTGGACTAGATGCTGTGGTTTTGTGGAGGAATATATGTATATATTTACAATGCGAATACCGAGAAGATCGAAAAATGATGAGGTTTGAATGCATCGAATGCTCTACAAATTAAAAATACTAGGTGGTTAGAACCGAAGTAAATACAAAGCCACAATTATATGAGGCTATAACTAAGCCAGCCGGTAGGTATATACAGATAGATCAATTCATTATTGATGTGTCGCACGTTGAGGCAACATTTGGGTGTGATCCGTCAGTGGGTCAAAATAGGTCAAATATAGTAGTCCGCTGCGCTGCCTGTTGGGGAAAATCTCTTTATTCTCTCTCCTCCTCCGCAATGGTCCGCGTCCTATATGTGTAGAATGGCTTCCGTCGAGGATATTGATCGGCTGGCACTCGACTTGGACGATGTCTGCGGCGGCTCCATATCCTTGCTCTGTTCCAGATCAATATCGATCACCAGGCAGTCGTAGGACGGTGGCGGCAGCTCGAATTTCAACACGCTTTCATAGCTTGGAGGCAATGAGTCCACAATGCGCAACACATCGTTTTGGGAGTTGATCTAACCAGGGGAATAGAAATAAAGAGTCAGCGATGGGACCTCTATGCGATGCTATCTCTACTTACGTGCGACATTGCTCCGTTGGTTGGTCGATTGCCGGCCTCGTCTATGGGTCCTGCCCAGATGCAGACGCCCATACGGTGCGTGACATAGCCGCAGATAATCACGCTGATCACCAGCATTCCAATGCCCAGCGCAAAGACCAGCCAGCGCGACTCGACGCTGTTGTCGCGCAAATTCTTCTCCAACTGCAGGGCGCACAGAATCAGTACGGGCACTGCCACCATGGCCACCAATAGATCAACTATCGGACGCTGTGTGCTAGGTCCGGCGTTGAGCGGAGCTCGGCCCGTCCCTGAGTGATAACCAAAGTTATGGTTGCTGCTGTTCGGCGTCAGTGTAGAACGGGCCACAACTGTATTGTGGTTCTGTAGCACCATGCTGAAAGGCAAAGAGGGGGCAGAGATGATTTAGTCAATCTAGTCTCATGTTTATTCGATGGGAACCTAGGGTAATTGTTAATGCTCAATGAATAGGTATGAGATCCGACCCTCCTTTGATCGCACGATTCCTCCCCTTTATGCTACTTGCGAGTAATCGCTGAGATAGTTAAACAATAGATTCGTCACATATTGTATGAAATCCATTATATTTACAAAAGTCTTTTAAGTCTTTCCCAATTTAGTAATTCTTTTCAAACCATATAACTTTCGATGCATTTGAGAGTTGAAAATATTTTTGAGACGCCTTTCCTCGTTGAGATCTAGACTCTTCTGCAGATTTTTAAAGAGCTATGGTAAATACGTATGTATATATATACATATGTATATGTATCATCATAGTATATGATTAACTTCTACGGCTTCGACTAAGTGAGCTATGTTTGTACGTAAGATCTGATCTGATAAGAACTTTCATTCGAATCCTATCTTACTCCTATGCTTGCTAAATATTTTAGGTACTATATACCCTTCGGTCATAATGATGTACATACATATGGATATATACATATGTACCACTATTACTACTAGTGGTGTGGCATTTTGTACGTGGTCATACCTGGGATCAAAGGCGTTAATCAGCCACAAGTCATAGACGGGCCGCATTTCGGTATCGGTTTTTGGTTCTCTCTCTCTTTTCGGTGATTTGTTTTGATTGATATCAATTGATTAATTTATTGTTGCGGTCATTCAGTTTTTTGATTGCATATTGATTCAATGATTCCAAAAAGTAACTTATTGGGTATGGATATTTTCACTTGAATATCTGATCTTCCCTTGAATCCATTGAAGGGAAGTTGGAAGTGTCTGAAGTGGAGCCAGGGATTAGTTGTGAAGATGTTACCCCCCACTGAAAATAATGCACACGGCTATAGGCAGATAGGTTTCAGAAAACCTTTTGGTTTGATTCAACTTTCAACCTTGAGCCGTTTATAAATAAGTATTTTTTTAGTAGGAATATAAGACTCCATGAATACATTTCGATTTCAATTCTGCATTGGGTTTATTTATTATTTAAGCTTCGGTAGGAGACATTGCTTACTAAAAGTCCCTGTTAAAATAATATCTAAAACCTGCTCGCGACAACAACACTGTGTTCACACATATATACATACACATATCTTTGTTTTCTGTTTCTGCAGTGGTTTTTCGCGAGGAGACTCTTCTGATTACGTTTTCACCGGCTAGAGCTCTTGGCCATAAGCAACTCAAGCGAGGAGCAGCGAATCAGGGCCAGATGTGATCAATGGGATCCACATTTGTGTCGCTCAAAGCGGCGCATACTTGTAGTGTTAGTCTCCCCCTTTCCAACTTCGTCCGCAGTAGGACAAGCTTATCAACAGACAATACAGTAGGAGAGATTGGAACCAGGAGTGGCTCTGAGCCGAGAGGGAGGGGGTTCACTTTACACCAGCGATAAGGAGAGGCCACCGGTTGCACGTGATATGAGATATTCTTATAGAAAACACTTTTGAACGCATTATATTTCCACATCAGTTGCCAAGGCGGCGTCTGTCAATTAACTCTTGAGCATTGGGTTTCGGTTTCACAGGCAAAAACAATAGAAATTTAACAACAGCCAGCTTGGTCGAGCTGAAACCGACTTGGGGCGAACTGGGCCGGTCAAGTGTTTGAATACAACTGGAAAAGCGTCCCCACAGCGAGGCCAGCGAGAATAAACGGAGTACTATTTCGAGGGTCGTACCCGAGTGATGTACTTCCGACTACCGGGATACCCAGGGGTCACAATACTGCAGGGTATATACCACTCAAATACAAACTATTTGGTACATATCAGTACCTAGCATACAACTGTATGTGTAGATTGTATGTGTAATAGAATCCCCAAAACAGCCAAATGCCCAAAACACCTTCTTCTCAATGGGTAGTACCCAAAAACATTAAATTGCAATTTAAGAATGACAAGCGAAGCAGAAATTACATATTTTTGTCAATGCGGTCGTGTGCGCAGTAGACACATTACCAGTGGAGAAGGGGGCACAGCCGAGGGTATTGGGTATTGGGAAAGGTGTAAGAGAAGAAATAACAAATTGTAGCAGGGAAATTATAAAGTTTCCTCTCGGGCATTATCTAGAAGCGAAACAAAAGCCCAGCAGAAGCAGAGCCAACGAAACCGGTTGCCGCCAGCTCGGCTTGTTCAATATATTTTGAGCTTTATCTGAACTCTGCCAGAGTTCATAGGAGTGCATAGGAGGTACCGATACCGCCGAGACAAGACGCAAATGGTCGTAATTAACGCTGAAGTCTTGAAAGTGTGGATTGGTCTACTTATTTCTGAAGATCTGCATAATTTTCTTTAAGATTACCCTAATGGAACAAGATGGAAATTTAATTTTTCTAAAAGTAAAATTTCCTAGAAATAAATGCTAGTTAAAACGAGAAAGATTGACTAAACGAAAGTTCTGTGCAAAGTTGCAGCCAAATAGCTCCAGGAACCACTTAGCTTGCATTGAATCAGACAGACGGACTTAGCTATTACGATTCGGCTGTTAGTCCAGATAAACAATGTACGTACATACAGACATACAAACTTTGTAGGGCCGCAAATACTTATTGATAGCTCCTGGAAATCGTGTAACCGAACTTTAATGGATAAACCCATTAAACCCTTATTCAACTCCGTGTAGAAATTAAAGTGTTTGCATCGATCAAACTTAAATTTTCACTTTGGACTAAATTAATTAAATAATTAAATTAAGTTGGATAAAAAGCAGATATAAAAAGTGTTGATTATTTTATTCTTAAAATCGTTGCATTAACAGATCAAAGGGCAAATATATTGCCATCTGGTAATACATTGGCACGATGTAAAAGGTTGATTTGATCTAGTTGTTTGCTTTTAAATAGTAGTATTTGTAGTAGTAATTTGCATCGAAACTTTTTTTGCTACCTAAGTGGATCCTATGAATTTCGTCGAATACTGAACCGGCAGCATATACTTACATATTATATATGTGTCTCAACTATGTATGTGTATCTAAAACGCTCTGATTTCCTTCGATGGTGAAGAATTATGGATATATGAACTTGAGTCCGAAACAAACCAGTAATCGACGGTATGGGTATTTTACCGCGGTCCAAATGTCACAAAAGTAGTTGCAACGAACCATTTTAAATCAACTGGTCGCCTGATTGTTCGAAAACTGGTCAACTGTTCATCCTCTAATTCTGAGTGGTAATTAACAATTTTTTGGTCGAAAGATGTTGTAACATTGAGAAAAACCAACCTCTAAATACGGATTTTACTTTTCTACCTTTTTTACTTTTTTCTGAAAGCTCACGCCGAAAGAGGCAGATGAAGTCTTCGTTTTAGTATCTCCTCCTTCTGAGTACTAACAGTGCTGCGGAAATATGTTAAAACGTTGCAAAATATGTATTAATCTTCTTGGAGAATAATTTGTATCCCCCTCCCCCCACCACAAGGGTACGCCCTTGCCTCAGGGACTTCTTTTCTCTACCTCTGCATCCCGCTACTGCTCACATGACAAATGCAAATATGGAAATGTCCATAAGTGTGCATCATTATCAGCTCAGACAGCTTCGGACTGATAAGATGCCTCTGTCTCCGCTCTTCCGAGGCAGGGCCTGTCCGCATATACAACCGGTTGTAAACACTTTGTCATTCGCCCTCGTTCTGGTCGTACCGTACCCTCTTCGAGGAACTTCTCGTTCGCAGTTTGATTTGAATGATTTAGTGCCCAAATGTGGAAGATGTCGTCGTTAATTTATGAATCCTTCGGCGGTTTCGGGGCGAGGACCCAGTTTTGGATACAAGAGCCGTTACAAAGTGTTAGGATTTTAATGGACTCTCGTTTACGTAAGAGGGTCGTTGTCGGAAATGTCAGCGCAATAACCCTTCCCTATATATTTATAATGTAAGTTTCGTTGGGATCGGTTGTCGGATCAACATACTTATATATTGTATACAATACTATACAATAAATATATGTACATATGTATGTGAATTTTAGACCACAGCTTCGCAAAATAAAATGTACAGTCAAACTTCCATTCGGTTGTACGGTTGTGGTACGGAAGCGCGTAATAGAGAATTTCGACCGTATTATCTAATAATAAAGCAAACTAAATTCTACATGATCCAAAACTGATATCAATCTCAATTTTTAGTTTTTTATGCGCTCTGTGCAAGTAGAGTATACTTATATATGTATGTATGTATGTATGTGTCGGCTTTCTTAAGCACAGAAACATTTCAGACAGATATATTACGCAAAAGTTGAAGATACAAATCATGTTTGAGCTATCAACTTCCGTCTTGCGTCAGAATCGGTAGACTTCCGCTCAGGGCCTACCTCAGCGTCCGCTACCCCTTGCACAGTGCCAGATAATATGCGAAGTACTACGTGCCCACAAGAATTTAGAATAATTTTTGCATATTTTCATTTGTGAATGAGGAGCATCTCATCAGCATCAGCTCGAGTCGATGACCAGATGCTGAATGCAATTAAAGGCATGTACGTGTACATGATAAACTCGTATAAATTATCATACAGGGTACTCCCTCAAGAGAACAAGGCAGCTTCCCAGGCCCTCCAAATAGAAAATCTCGATCCGCTATTGCATGTCACCACCAGGCACGTAGTCGTCAAAGTGTCATCTGCCTGACGAAATGAATACATTTTCTAAATACAAATTAGCCTTGTGACTCTAATAGCCATACACGCCCACAAAAAATACAAACATTGAAACTGAATAAAAAGTATGCTTTATATGGGTATACCTGTTGCTGACTTTACTATACCCTAATCTTATACAAGTTTCTTTTCGCGAAATGTGCACTTACTTCATGAGCTTGATTTTAACAAAAAACAGAGTGTCAGCTGAAAACTAGGCACTGGCCCAGAAACCCAATTGGGTCCAAGTGCAAAGATCAGACATAAGAATATATCAGTATAGTATAGTAAATGCTCGTGAAAATATTTTATAGTCTGCAGATATCGAATTACTGATGACTCTGCTTGACTTTTTTTCGAATAAGGTGTAATTCTTTTTTGAGCAAGTTTGCATTTTCAGTTTTCGGACCGATACGTTCGTCTCTTCTTTTGTCTCTTCGTAAGGGTCTACGGATCTTCGGATTCACGGATGAACTCGGTAGGGTAATTCATTTTTGTAAATATTTCCTTATTTTCTTTAGCTAAAGGTATACTCAGAAAATATAACAAAGATTCTGAAAACCACAAAACGATATGATTGAGTAAATTTCCCTATTAGCTTAAACCGAAATGCGTTATATCCGAGCGCCAGGTTCAAATCATACGATTCAAACTTCATTCTTTCCTTCGCTTTATAAGGGAAGTACATTTAGCCTCGTCGTTGATCTTCTCGTGCTTATCAGTCCCCTACTACAGCAACGGAAACTGCGCAAGCTCCTCGACCATATAGCGCTTAAGCTGTATGAAAGCATTGGAATTTCCAAAGAATTACCATGGTTTTCCCATGTCAGAAGTTATATAGAATAAATTTCTACATAGAACGTTTTGGGAGAAGTGCTGAATCGGCGGTGCTGTAGTGGTTCGATAGATAAATATATGTATACATATGTACCATTTTGATATTTTTTTAAGTTCATTCAAAGTGTTTTCAAGTACTGATGCATGACGAAACGAAAATATCACAAAGATTCTGAAAACCACAAAACGATAACGACGATATGATTTACACAAAGTGAGTGAATTTGGCTATTTGGTTTCGTCGCAATGCGTGATAGCAAAGCGACAGGTTCAGTTTATACGATACGGTACTAGCGAGTTTTTTGTCCTGAGTAGAAATTTGAGTAAATTTGCTACTTTTTTGAACCTATGATCCGACATCCCTTAGCATTATCGGTCGTGGGGCAAGCCATAGAGCACACAGAACCGCAACAGCCGCAATGTTTTTAATTGTGACGATAAGTACAAGAATCATAAAACTAAAGCAGAGGCAAAAGACAGAGGCTTAACAAAACAAACGCCCACAGGGCAGAACAAATTCTTGGGAATCGTTTGGACTAACTAGCAAGGGAGTCACTCGGATATACATATGTACATATGTATGTATATCGCTTACGTTCTCAGCCATAGGTACATATGTACATATGTATGCACGTACATGTGTATGTACGAGTATACGTATGAGCCTTCCATAACTTAAGTGCTTTACATGAACCAGAATGAAGCAATAACGATGATTTCCCAGACCGATCCAACCAAGGAAAGAGAGTATTATTAATGTATTAATTGATCCTATCCGAGTGTTGTTAAATTGTGAATGGGCGAATGTGTTGAGGCCGTTGTTGATGCCTTTTAATTGACCGAACCGAGCTTGTGAACCGAGGGAGGGTGGATGGGTCCCCTTCTCATTGAAAACTGAGCATACATGTACATGTTGTATGTATGTAGATCTCTTTAGCTTTTTCTTTCCTCTTTTTGTACCGTAATTCCTGTTTGGTCACGTAGCCTAGTTTTGACAATCATTGGAACGATCGTAGAAACAATATTCTTTTTAATTTTGTCCTCGTTTTTTTGCTTTTGTTTGCTGCTGGACTACGCAAGAAAAAACATATATGTATGTATATACATACATATAAATGTACATATGTATGTACATTTGTATGTATAGTTTATGCATGTACATACATAGGGACATTTTTACACACAAGCAGACATATACATATAAATAGATGTACATATATAGCAACTAATAAAAGCTCCTATCAATAAATTGTATTTATCTGTTGTTCTCTGGCTAATGATTCGCGTTCTCCTTGCTATAAAAATACGTAAAATTTTACCTACATATTTCAGAAAAATGTTTCATATGAATGTTTACTTGAAATTTTGGAACAGTTTTAGTTTTACCATGTTATCGGATCGCAGTTGGAATTTGATATTTTTTTTGGAACCTTTCATGGAATGATGCAACTTTATTCCGAACACTATACGATACTATCGCTGCCGAAAGGCAAAAACACCTGTTTTTCTTATCTACCTCTTGGATAGTTCCAATTTTGTGCGCCTCCTAAATTGCATGGCATGGCCCACATAGACCATCACGCACATATGTATGTACATGTGTATGTGCACACTAAAACACAGAGCATCATTTCCGTAGCTGTCTCTCCTCCTCCTTTTCCTATTTTGTGAGTTTTATTTATAGCCGTAGAATGAAGGGTGAGGAGTAAACATGTTTGTCGGCATTTCGTACTCACTTGAAAATTTCTCTGTTCGCTTCTCTTCCTCTTCCTCTCGCTCTTGTTTCTACAAAATCCCCTCACTCTCTGTTTGTATCTCTTTGGGGGCTGGCTTCTGCTCTTCTTCAAATCGAGTTGTCTTTTTCGCACATTTGAGAACAACACAAAACAGAAAAAGAAACAAAAACAAAAAGTAAAACAAAAACCCGAAAACGTTGTGTTTTTATCGAGAATTATGCACGCGATTGGGTTGGTTTTAAGATCGCTGCCGCAAGTCGGTGCAGCGGCAAGTTGAATGGACTGTCTATCTGTGCTGGCTCTGGGTATATTCGTAGTGCTCCTCCTTGCTTTGGTTGGCCTCCTCGCTGCTGCTACTGCCTACTCTCTCGCAATGGATCCAATGCCCGTGAACCATCACAACTATTCCACTGTGAGTAAGTGGTTGATGTTCGCGGATAGTGCTGCCTCCTTCGGCAGGATAGATACATATATCGTTTGGGCTCCGATGACCTTTGGACAGCGGCGGAACGCGACGCGAATATAATAGGAACAATACCGAAGATGACCGGTCTATGCGTAGGAACAACGTTCATATACTCGTGCACTCGGAATCTACAAAACTTTTTTATTTTTTCCTCCTTTCATTTGATTTTTCGAATCAGTCGCGGAGATCCGATCGGGATGAACCAAGGCGAGCATTGACTAAGCAGCAACTGTGCCGATCGCTTTTGCGTCTGCTCTGGCTTCGACTGTCTCTACTCACGTCTGCTGCTCACGTCGACGTCTCACAGTGGGGCATGTTTGGAATGTTTTCTCCCCAAAAACCAAGCTGTAGAATACGAAAAACCTCGGGACCACAGTATGAAAAACAAGTCGGAGGTAGACAAAATTAACATACATACATATTTAAATATATACATATTTGATTGATGGAGATTTTTAGAAAATCGGATAATTAAGTATGTATGAAGCTAGTAAGGGATGGCATAGAAGCATATACAGACTATTCGGCACTTTGATTTTGCATTATTTTAAGCTTAAACGATTATTAATCTTATTAATTTTTATGCTGAAATACTTAGTTTAAAAATGATAACTTGTATATTTTTTAAAATAATCTCTTACTGATGATATGCGAAGTTGTTTTGACCACCATCCATACTGATGTGCTCCACTGTGCGTCGACGCACATTCAATGACGTTTTTGTTGCTTCTGTAGAAGATTCTCTGCTGTTGCTGTTGTTGCTAAGCTTTTGCTCTCTTTCAGAGATGCGCAAGGGCTGAAAAGTGGCGATCACAATGAATGGCATGCCAGCATATTATTTATTCTCTTTTTGGTACCCCACCCAGACCATTAAACGGTCACAGATTTGTTGATGTGTTGTTGATTCCGTACGATTGATTTCGACATGGTTCGTTTGATGTACTTGCTGTAAGCGTATTGAGTTATTTCAAATTTATAATTTTTTAATACAAATGAACCTTTACGACATTTTATTGTTAAAAATAAAATGAGTTCCTTTTTGTATTTTCTTTGGATTAACCTGGAGATAATCCGAATCTCTTTCAAGAAATCTGCTGGAAAGCCTATTCAGATCTGGCATCACTAGAACAAGTTGCGCTCTCTCGTATCCACACAATTTTCATACCAGGGTAAATTTATAACAAGATATGTATATCTGAGTG